TAAAAAAGATGTGGTACATATATACAATGGAATATTGCTCAGCCATAAAAAGAAACGAAACTGAGTTATTTGCAGTGAGGTGGATGGACCTAGAGTCTGTCATACAGAGTGAAGTAAGTCAGAAAGAGAAAAACAAATACTGTATGCTAACACATATATATGGAATAAAAAAAAAATGTTCATGAAGAACCTAGGGCCAGGATGGGAATAAAGATGCTGACCTACTAGAGAATGAACCTGAGGACACGGGGAGGGGGATGGGTAAGTTGGGACAAAGTGAGACAGTGACATGTACATATATACACTATCAAATGTAAAACCGGTAGCTAGTGGGAAGCAGCTGCAAAGCACAGGGAGATCAGCTTGGTGCTTTGTGACCACCTAGAGAGGTGGGATAGGGAGGGTGGGAGGGAGGGAGACACAAGAGGAAGAGATATGGGGATATATGTATATGTATAGCTGATTCACTTTGTTGTAAAGTAGAAACTAACACACCATTGTAAAGCAATTATACTCCAGTAAAGATGTTAAAAAAAAAAAAGTATTTTACTGGAACTATTTTCTATGTTGAAAAATATTCAACAACAGGTGAGTGATAAAGGAATGATGTCATTGTCATGAATAGAACGCTGTGCAACTGTTAAAAGAATGAGGTAGTCACATGTGTACTGACATGAAACATTCTTTAAGATTATTAAATTTAAAAAGAAGTGCATCATCAAAAAGCAGACATCAGTGGAACAGAATAGAGAGCCCAGAAATAAATCCACATATTTATGGTCAATTAATCTATGATAAAGGGGGCAAGAATATACAATGGAGAAAAGACAATGTCTTCAATAAGTGGTGCTGGGAAAACCGGCCAGCTATATGTAAAATAGTGAATTTAGAACATTTTCCCACACTATATACAAAATTATATACAAATATAAACTCAAAGTGGATTAAAGACCTAAACATAAAACATGACACCATAAAACTCCTAGGAAAGTACATAGGCAGAACACTCTTTGACATAAATCACAGCAATATTTTTTGGATCTGTCTCCTAAAGCAAAGAAAACAAAAGCAAAAATAAACAAATGGGAGCTAATTAAACCTAGAAGCTTTAGCACAGCATAGGAAATCATCGACAAAACAAAATGCGGACCTACTGAATGGGAGAAAACTTTTGTGAATGATATGACTGATAAGGGGTTAAAGAACTCATACAACTCAATATTAAAAAAACAAACGACCCAATTAAAAAATAGGCAGAAGACCTGAATAGACATTTTTCCAAAGAAGACATACAGATGGCCAACGGGCACATGAAAAGATGCTCAACATCATTAATCATCAGAGAAATGCAAATTAAAACCACAGTGATATATCACCTCACACCTGTCAGAATGGCTATCATCAAAAAGTCAACAAATAACCAATTCTGGAGAGGGTGTGGAGAAAAGGGAACACTTGTCCACTCTTAGTGAGAATGTAAATTGGTGCAGCCACTGTGGAAAACAGTATGGAAGTTTCTCAAAAAAACTGAAAATAAAGTTGCCATATGATTCAGCAATTCCACTCCTCGGTATATACCTGAATAAACCAAAAACACCAATTTGAAAAGATACATGTACCCCAATGTTCATAGGAACATTATTTACAGTTGTCAAGATATGGAAGCAACCTAAGTGTCCATCAACAGATGAAGCGATAAAGAAGATGTGGTATATACGGTATGTGGATATACAAAGGAATACTACTTAGCCATGAAAAAAGAAAGAAATTTTGCCATTTGCAGCAACGTGGATGGACATGGAGAGCATTATGCTAAGTGAAATAAGTCAGACAGAGAAAGAAAAATACTGTATGATACCACTTATATGTGGAATCTAAAAAATACAAAAAACTAGTGAATACAACAAAAAAGAAACAGACTCACAAATATAGAGTACAAACCAGGGGTTACCAGTGAGGAGAGGGAAGGAAGGAGGGGCAAGATAAGGGTAGGGGATTAAGAGGTGCAAACTACTATCTATAAAATAAACTACAAGAATATATTGTACAATACAGGGAATGTAGCCAATATTTTATAGTAATTATGAAGGGAATATAACCTTTAAAATTGTGATCACTATGTTGTATACCTGAAGCTTATATAATATTGTACATTATCTATACCTCAATTTTAAAAAAACATTAAAAAAAGTGCATCATAAAAAAAAATGATGTGGCACACATATACAATGGAATAGTACTCAGCCATAAAAAGCAGTGAAATTGCGTTATTTGTATTGAGATAGATGGACCTAGAGTCTGTCATACAGAGTGAAGTAAGTCAGAAAGAGAAAAACAAATACTGTATGCTAACACATATATATGGAATCTAAAAAAGAAGAAAAAAGATTCTGAAGAACCTAGGGGCAGGACAGGAATAAAGACAGACGTAGAGAATGGACTTGAGGACACAGGGAGAGGGAAGGGTAAGCTGGGATGAAGTGAGAGAGTGGCATGGACATATATACACTACCAAATGTAAAATAGCTAGTGGGAAGCAGCTGCATAACACAGGGAGATCAGCTTGGTTCTTTGTGACCACCTAGAGGGGTGAGATAGGGAGGGGGGGAAGGAGACACAAGAGGGAGGAGATATGGGGACATATGTATAACTGATTCACGTTGCTATAAAACAGAAACTAACACACAATTGTAAAGCAATTATACTCCAATAAAGATGTTAAAAAAATTAAGTGTAGTCTTTATCTTCTCAAACAAACTCCACTTCCTTCTATTTTGATTCTAAGGGAAATAAAAATTAATTTTCCTTCATCTATCCCAATATAATCCATTATCAGCTGCGGGTTTCCTTACTATGAGAGACAGTAAGGCCATATGTTATTTTATCTCTTCTGTTGAAGAAGAATCACTATTCATGCTCTCTGGGCTCCTGTTTCTCCCTAAGCCCTTAGATTCTCATCCCTATTTAGAATTCTGCAGTGTGCTGGTCCCCTGGGAAAAGAACCAGTCACTGATTGGCTTTTTGCTCTATTTATTACCATGGTACAGTAGAAGGGGAAAAACCCTCTTTCTCTTAATTTATTGTAAAAATATTTTAAGGATGTTTGTTAAGACACGTTATTTATGCTAATCTGTGATGGCAGTGTCTATCCATACCAAGAGGTGGTCCAGAACTGAGAAAATGAAGGAACATAGCAGAGGCGTCAGTTGAGGTTGGCCTATAGATTAAAGCAAGCGTTGATTTTGAGTGGGAAGACAGGAGACCAGAGTCAGCTGGCAAGGCTGAATTGAGTAACACAGGTGACCAGTATTGCTCTTGAGCCTGTGATCATATATTTGGGATAGAAAGGAAAGGGAAGAGAGGTAAAGAATAGAAAGCAAAATAAATATTTATTATGTGCGTAACCCTGTTACTTGTCTTACATCACTAGAAAGGTCAGCAGGTGAAGTTAATGATAAAAAGAACCCAATTTATCTATAGGTGATGAAAGAAATTCAGTAGGTGATACAAGGCCTTATTTTTAAGTTCACATAGGACCATCTTTCAGTACACTTAAGTACAACTCAGATAGTAACTTGAAATCTTTGTCTCTTTTTCTCCTTTCTTAAAACACTATTTGTCTTTCCTTGTGGCCCATGTCTTTCCAAAGTGTCACTCTCCCCATGTGACTAAGGTCAAGAAGAGCCATTGGCCTTCTGTGCCATCCCTGACTCTAGTAGGAGAGTCATATTGGACTCTCAGTCTTCTGAATGGAACACGGAAGAAAGACAAACTTCATTTTTGCTACTATTGATTGCTTCTCATCATAACTTCTGGGTGTTACTATTTATAATATTGAAATAACTAGAGAACGAGTCAGAAAACCTTGCTCTGCCAGAACTGTCAGACATTTCCACATAGTTTTCACAACCCACCATGCAGTATTTGTTTACCACCATTATGCAGATGAAGCCAGGTTCTGAGAATTGTAAATTATATAACTTCGTTTACTGTGAATAGTAGGTCCAACCCCTGTCAATATTTCTTCCAAGAATGGGCAGGCGGTTAGGGGGGTGCAATACCATGGAGAAGTTTAGAATTGGGTAAAACTGAAAAGGACATTATCAAAAAAAAAAAAAAAAGAAAGCACTCAAGACTGCTTTTATTTGGGTATCTTCCCTTTTATCTAATCACATAAATGTATGTATAATATATCTATTATTTATATAGCTTTTTTGTAGATACAGATATCTTTCTTTTTTTAACTCCTGAATATCCTTTCTGGCAGCTTGTCTCAGGTTGGTATTTGCAGTCTGTGGTATTCTTCATATGAGTTAATTTCCTGATATATGTGGCTGAATTTAACTCAAACATATTTAAAATTAACAGCTGTCCAGACAAAATGCAATTATTTACACTGAAAACATCATTCTCTTTAAAGTTGAAAAAAGTGGATACAATGGATACATACAGCCTCAGAGGTTTTGACCAGTGATCACACAATCCAGACAAAATACCAGAGGCACAGTTCCAAACCCAAGGGAGAAAGAGGTTGAGTGGCAATTGAGCGGTGGTAGGACTGGGTTTGTGAAAAAGTCTCCGTGAACGCGCTTCATATGATAGTCTCAGAATTGTGTCCAGTTATGTTTAACTGGCAGCCTCGTTGAAAGTTTACCTAGATCACTAATTAGTAACAGCTTCGGAAATGGGAGGCATTTCTCTGTCCCTTATTTCTCATCTTAGAATGGGCATCAGTTGCCCATGTTTTAATTACTTTTCATTTGTTCAACCAAGAATCTGAGTGACCCTGTCACTAACACTGTTTTCATTGCACAGTGGACCATGTGCTGGGTGGGCTTCCTGAAGAGGATTAATGAGAGCTAAGTACAGAAATCTGCTCAGGTTATTAAAGGCTAACAGTGATTGTTCTAATGTGTCTGTTTATTATGCACATTGTCTCCTCTACACTCATATTAACCTAGTCAATGTGTTTGTCAATTGTTAATATCTTTTTGTTGCAGATACAGATGTGGTGTATAAAAGCGAGAATGGACATGTCATTAAACTGAATATAGAAACAAATACTACCACGTTATTATTGGAAAACACAACTTTTGTAAGTAATGAATAATTAATTACTTTAATCATTTCAGTATTGTTTAGAATGCTCTCTTGGTATACATAATGGTCATTTTTTTTAGCTTCAGCATTTGCAAAGCTTTTCAAGTGAAAAGTTAAGGCTGGGATATTATTAGAATCAGTAGATCTATTGATAGAAAATTCCCATGTGACCATCTCCTCTGTTTTCTCCCCAATTATCCTTTTTAGTAAATGAATAAGTGTTTCTAAGAATAATATTTTTTTAGAATGAATATTTATTCCAATATTTTCTATGTAAGTTTAGCCATAAAAATGCCAAAATTAAAAAAAAAAGTTTAGTATAACCCAAGTCATAACTTTTTCTCCGCCTTTACTTTTCATTCTTCCTGACTTGTTTCTAATTGTGGTTTTCGAAATCAAGTAGAAGGCAGGCTTTCTAAAACTGGCCTTTAGTTGGAGTTGATATGCTTTTCTTTTATAATTAAGCATTCTATCAGTATCATTTCTCTTCTCCAGAATCATTGTTTGGCCTAACAATGATCCAAATAACTGAATGTATTTATTTTGCTCTCATAAATGTATATGAACTTTGGGGTAAATTCAGTCCTTTTAAGGTTAGATTTAGCTATGATTACCTATTGAGTAAGTGATAATGAATCAACTGTTTCAAATGTTCAAAATCTAGGATCAAACACCACTGAAAAATAGTTTAAAGTTATTTGCTCATTGTTTTATACAACCAAAGGTTCAATGTATTGCCTATTAGATGAGTTCCTATGTTATAACACATGAACTTAGGCCTCAGAAGACCTCCTATACAAATTAAAGGAATAAGCAAACCATCAGATACTTTTTGTACTTATTGCTACTTGTACATCTGGAATAAACATTTGGTCTTCATGTTTGTAATAGAGTGGCCAGGTGGAAGAGATGAAGTGAAAACGTCTGTTAGTGTTTTTATTTAATAAGAGAAAAGTGGTTGTTGAAATCATGCAGTGATTATATATGTATATATTTGTTAGACTAAATTAAACCAACCAGCTGAGGTACTTTAGCAATTAGGTTATTAACTAACTAATAATGGCATTTCTATTTTTAAATGAATCAGTTAATTCACCGATATTAGAAGAGCAGATACTCTGAATGCAATGATTTATAGTACTTGTGGAATGCCAAGGCAATGTAAGCCATATTGCTCACTTTCTTAGAATATGGATTTCCTTGGGGTAGGTAATGCTTACCTTCCTGAAAAAGTTTAACAAACAGCATAGAGCAGTATCTATTATTTCTTAATTGGTTGGTCCTCGGGGATACTAGAGAAGAGGCTAAGGAATCATCGAGAGATTCTGAAATCAATGGGAAAGAAGCCTCCATATGAGATAGAACAGGAGGTAGAAAGCAGGAATCAGTAATTATGACAGCTAATGATCGGCTGATTAAAGTCAATGCGAATTAATTTCAATAAAACTAGTTTGGAGAGCAAAATTAAATGAATTTTTGCATTTGTTTCCTTTATTATAAAGTAGCATTTTTGATGGGGGTTATAGACCTTTAGTGGTCAAGTATTTAAGCTAAGAATAGACACGTAGTACGTGAATATCTGGTTATGTGACTGTTCCACACTGATCATCCCCTTACACAGGTTAATGAGGTCTTCTATTGGTCACTAATTATCTTTTTTTTTTTTTCCAGCATTTATTCCTTGCTTTCTTAGTCTCTTTGGTACATCAGAAAAGGAACAGAACAAACCTTGTCGGTTATTATTTCATTCTGTCATTGGTACTTTGTACTTTACACCAACCCCATCTCATTGTAGTTTTCTCCATGTGTTAATTAATGCCATTTTATCTTTATGCTTGTATGTTTAATCTTTTAAAAATCCTTTTGAGGTCTATTTCTGCTCTTTTCTATGTTGGCCATGACTCTTAATTACCACCGAGTCATATTTAACAAATATTCTAATTTACTGATCTTTTAAGATTCATAGGCTCCCTGAAGACATTTATCTCACAACACAGATAATTAAACAGTTTATAAGTCCTAGAGGCATCAGAATTCAGTGGAGGAGGCTGAGGATAAAGATTGGAATGCGACTTATGTTTCCAACTAGTTAACTCAGAACTGCAAACAAAAAATACAAATTAACACGAATCCAGATGAATTCAAAGGAACTTATTTAATCATTTTCTCCTTCTAACTCCAAGATAGCATTATTAAACACACTTGTGTTTTAACGATCATGCTAAGCTAAAGTCTGGAGATGCTTTCTCTCTCAGGTCATACTCTTGGGAAAAAAATCTCTTATCAGAGCATAAAATTTTTATTTATAGCGCAGTTTTTTTTCTTTGAGCAATTAGCAGTACTTTAATGACAATTATAATTAATTGGATTAGATCACTATAAGAAGCTTTGTAGTAAAGTGTACCAAGGCAATTGAGAAAAATAATTATTACTTAAAATGTGACAACAGAATAACCTATTGTATAATAAGACATATTTTGCAAAAAAAATGTGACTGCCAGTTTATTTTAAAACTTAATATAACATCACATTGTCATTTCTCTGCTTACATACATTTTAAATATGAATGGTGGGCACTTTTAGCTATGTAATCATGGTTAGCAGACACTATGAGTAATGATAATATTGGCTGTGACTGTCAAAAATAAAACAAAAGTAAATAATTTTCCTGAAATAATTGGCTTATGTCTTAAGGCATTCTTTTGGAGTGAAGATAGGTGGACTTCTAATGAAGGAGAAAATTAAAGTGTATATAACTTTTTGAAGAGGAGTTACATGAAAGGAGTGATTTAGCCCCAAAAGTGCTCTTAATCATTTTTAAGTGTTTAAAAAAGTTATCTCATAAAGCCAAAACTATTTCAAACAAAAGCTCATTCACAGTGTCATAATGAGGAAAATGTTTCATAAGTATTAGCTGTATTCTTTCTACTGGAAATAATTTGAATATCTCCAGTGGTCTTCGCAAAAAACACCAGCATTCATAAATAGTTCTATCAAATCTCTGAGATTTGAAAGAAGTTGGAAACATGATTCTGAGCTATATGCTTAAACATTACCAAGATTAAAAAAAAAAAAAAAGCTTGTGTACTAATATGGAAAGGGAAACTAAATATCTGTAAGCTTTTAAAAACTATGCTATAAAAATAGCCTAAAGTATAGAAAGGAAATTCACGGTAACATTCAAGGGAAATGTTACCTGCACATGTTTTGGTCCAACTATTTATTTATAGGTCATTACAAAATAGTAGGTTTGACTAGAACCAAGGAATATTTATGGACTTATCATGCATAGAGATAGCATCAGTTGATTTGCATACCACTGCAGTATTTTTTTTTTTTACATCTTTATTGAAGTATAGTTGCTTAACAATGTTGTGTTAGTTTCTGCTGTATAACAAAGTGAATCAGCTATACGTATACATATATCCCCATATCCCCTCCCTCTTGCATCTCCCTCCCACCCTCCCTATCCCACCCCTCTAGGTGGTCACAAAGCACGGAGCTGATCTCCCTGTGCTATGCGGCTGCTTCCCACTAGTTATCTATTTTACATTTGGGAGTGTATATATGTCAGTGCCACTCTCTAACTTCGTCCCAGCTTACCCTTCCCCCTCCACATGTCCTCAAGTCCATTCTCTACATTTGCATCTTTATTCCTGTCCTGCCCCTAGGTTCTTCAGAACCTTTTTTTTTTTTTTACATTCCATATATGTATATATGTTACCATATGGTATTTGTTTTTCTTTTTCTGACTTATTTCACTCTGTATGACAGACTCTAGGTCCATCCACCTCACTACAAATAACTCAATTTCGTTTCTTTTTATGGCTGAGTAATATTCCATTGTATATATGGACCACATCATCTTTATCCATTCATCTGTCGATGGACACTTAGGTTGCTTCCATGGCCTGGCTATTGTAAATAGTGCTGCAATGAACATTGTGCTCCATTACTCCTTATGAATTATGGTTTTCTCAGGGTATATGCCCACTAGTAGGATTGCTGGGTCATATGGTAGTTCTATTTTTAGTTTTTAAAGGAACCTCCATACTGTTCTCCATAGTGGCTTATCAATTAACATTGCCACCAACAGTGCAAGAGGGTTCCCTTTTCTCTACACCCTCTCCCGCATTTATTGTTTGTAGAATTTTTGATGATGGCCATTCTGACTGGTGTCAGGTAATACCTAATTGTAGTTTTTATTTGTATTTCTGTAATGAATAGTGATTTTGAGCAACGTTTCATGTGTTTGTTGGCAATCTGTATATCTTCATTGGACAAATGTCTATTTAGGTCTCCTGTCCATTTTTGGATGGGGTTGTTTGTTATTTTTATATTGAGCTTATGAGCTGCTTTAATATTTTGGAGATTAATCCTTTGTCAGTTACTTTTTTTGCAAATATTTTCTTCCATTTTGAGGGTTGTCTTTTCATCTTGTTTATGGTTTCTTTTGCTTTGCAAAACTTTTATGTCTCACTAGGTCCCATTTGTTTATATTTCCATTTCTCTAGGAGGAGGGTCAAAAAGGATCTTGCTGTGATTTATGTCATAGAGTGTTCTGCCTATGTTTTCCTCTAGGAGTTTTATAGTGTCTGACCTTACATTTAGGTCTGTAATCCATTTGGAGTTTATTTTTGTGTATGGTTTTAGGGACTGTTCTAATTTCATTCTTTTACATGTAGCTGTCCAGTTTTCCCAGCACCACTTATTGAAGAGACTGTCTTTTCTCCATTGTATATTCTGATCTCCTTTATCAAAGATAAGGTGACCATATGTGCGTGGGTTTATCTCTAGGCTTTCTATCCTGTTCCATTGGTCTAAGTTTCTGTTTTTGTGCCAATACCTTACTGTCTTGATTTCTGTAGCTTTGTAGTATCGTCTGAAGTCCAGGAGCATGATTCCTCCAGCTCTGTTTTTCTTTCTCAAGATTGCTTTGGCTATTTGGGGTCCTTTGTGTTTCCATACAAACTGTGAAATTTTTTTTCTAATTCT